AAAAAGAATATTATATGTTCAAAAAATTTGTAAACAATCACAAAGTCTTAAAAATAATTTTTAAAATTATTATTAAATTTAATATTAATAAAATAAAATTTACTAGATGATTTTAAATAAAGCAGTGTCACTAGATTTTAAATAATTCTTTGTCATAAGAAAAAAACATTAAAAAGAAGAAGCAAAAATAAACAGGCAATGGTATATTACGTTATCATAACCCGCATACGTTATAGCGATAAGACTACCTACACTATTCTTCCTTCCTTTTTGATGATCACATTCGTTTGTCGCATTTCTTGAATATGAGGATTCCATATTAAAAAAATAATATTAAAAATAACTATGATAAAATTTTTAAATTATAAATATAGAAAATGAATATAATGAAATATAGAAAATTTTTGCAAAAATTTAATAAAATTAATAGTTTTTAGTATTTATATTTATAACAAAAAATTATATTTTTTGATTTTAAAAATTATATTTTTATAAATATTTAAATAATAGAAAAAATGCAAAAAAATTAAAAAATTAAAATTTTATATGTGTATATATTATAATATAAATATAATATCTAATGCTTAATCTATATCATTTAATTATCGTAATATTTTATTATTTTATACAATTGCAATTTCATACATATAATGAAAATTTAAGAATTTTTTGAAAGCAAAGAAAAACATTTATTATGAATTGAATTTATTATGAATTGAAAATTTTGAGGAGTTATACTCTTGATCATGATAATAAATTGAAACATATTATTTTATTTTTAAGATTTATTACGAAAATCGAATTAAATGAATTATTTATTTCATTAATAGAAGATTCAAGATTCAAGATTAGATTTTGGATTATCATTTGTTATGTATATATTTATGTTAATTCATTTTTTTTAGATTTTTATTAAATTTTTATTAAATTTTTATTAAACTTTTATTAAACTATCTAATTAAACTTTTCTCTCTATAATTAATCAATAATAAGATTAAAAGTAAATCTTAAAATCTAGAAATAAAAAAGATGCAATAGTGAAAAATTATTGTTATTGCAAAATATTTTTCTTAAAATTACAGTTGAAAAATATAGAATATATGAATATAATGTTTTTTTTTGATTTCAATAAGAAACAATCAAATAGTCAAAAACTATCCTGATCATCTTCGTAAATGCTCATAATGATATTCAATCTATAGAATTGTTCTCAAAAGATATTATATCAAATTATGTCCATAGAAAAAATTTTTTATTATAATTAAAGAAGGATCGAGATAGTTAACAGTTGGCTATAAACAAAAGTGAAGAGAAGTAAAGGAAAACGAATACAAGTGTGCTACACATGTGTATAACCAACTATCTGATGTAAAAGAATATCGTAAGATATATCGATATGAATTATACGAAAAATATCTTTTAATTGTAAAATATATATTTAATTATATAATATTACATATCATGAATAAATATTACAATTATTTATACAATTATTTTATTCTAAAATTATTAAGATAATTGATATTATATATTGATATTATTATAAATTTTGTTATATAATATCAAATAGATTTTAAATTTTTCATATTTGTATAATTTTTTTTTACTATATAATACTATAATTATATATAACTTAATACAAAAACTTAATGTTTTCAAAATGAAATACTAATGCAACTATACATACGAATTGCATTAAACATATACTAGTCATTAAGTTTATATACAATGGTTTATTGTACTGTGATCAGTATTTTCTTTATTGAATCTTCATTTGAACAATACAATTATAAAAATTCATATTTAATATTATCAAAAGATTGAAAAATAAAATTAGTAACTCATAATAATCAAAGTAGAAATTATATTAATCGGTATTTTGAAATCTTAATATTTTAAATATTTTTAAATAATTTCTAATATTTAAAAAAAATGTATATAAAATATATAAAATATAGTATAAAATTTATTTATTTTATATATTTTTTATTTTATTTTCTTTTTTTTTCACTCTATTTTGTTTTTCTATCATTTTCTTATTAAGTCTCTTTATATTTCTGTCTATTATATACATATATTAATATAATGTTATAATATATATATATATATATATATAAAGAATTTATTTTGATAAATACTAATACCAACATTTTTTAAATAGTTTTAAAAAAAATCTTTGAATCTTTCGCAAAAAAATTCCTCAAATCTATTAAAAATTTAACATTTCTTTCAATATAATAAAATATGATGAATTGTTTCATTCAATCTCTTTCTATTTTATCTTTTATTCAAACTTTCTTAATATATCAATTCATCCAATTAATAAAAATAAATGAAACGATAGCTTCTTCCGTTAAAATTGCAAGCAGTTAATCCTCTATAAAACTTTTCCTTCTCGCCTCCGCACATGTTTTTCTACTTAGATTTAAGAACTTTACTTTGTCCCTCGACTGCGTCAGCACCCTCGTCACGAGCTGACAGGAAGGGACCTCATTCTTTGTACGGCACTGGTCGCTGTCGGAGGTTCTCCTTAACAGAGAGACGCGAGAGAGACGCGTCACAAGAGGCGTCTACACGACGGTTGCCTCTCTCTCCCATATATTTTTCATCTAGTGATCGGCACGCGAGATCAAATGTGTCTTGGATCATCGGTTTTCGATTGATCTATTTATTTTGTTCGATTATAATTGTGGATCCAGCCGTCTATCTGCTCATGGCACAAGACACATTCTTGAGGGAGGCACATCGAGTTAGGTAAGAAGTTTCTCGCTGTTCGTTCCTGTTATTCTCGTTTCTCGTACTCGATGTCGCTGCGTTTTCAAGCACACTTGTAGTTTGTTTGTGCTTGTTTTCAAGCTTAATTACATGTGAAACAATGCTTCTTTTTTGTTTTTCTATTGACAAGGAACAAGGATGCGATAGAAGCTTGATTGATATGAGTGCAAGTTCATGTATAGTTTATATGTGTATACATGCATATATATGTGCATGAGTATGTTTAATTTTGATTAGATTTTTGGAGTTTTTGAAGATTTTGTTATTAACAAAATTTTAAATGGATTTTGATTTGAAAATTTGATTATGATATTTGGAATAAAAAATAAATCGAACTAAGTGAGTATATAAATCATTGTAGTTGAGTGTTATTTTAAAAATAATTAATAATTATTATTAAATTAATTATGTAATTATGTAATTATATTAAGTTTAAAAATTTTGAATTTTAATTTTATGTTTATTCTAAGAGAATTTAGTTATTTAGCTTCTTATTTTGAAGTAAAAATTGAACAGCATTAATAATTTTTTTATGAAATAAAATACATTAAAATATAATATTAATGTGAGATTATATATTATTTTAAATGTATATATAATACAATTAACTAATTAATTATTATATACATAAGATATATCATAAAAATAATAAATATAATATATATATAATTAATATATATATTATTTTAAATATTATATATATATTATCTTGAGTATAAAAGACAATTATATTTTATTATAAGATATAAATATATATTTTTTAATTTCTAAGTAAAAAAAATTAATTATTTAAACCAACATTATTCCATTAAGCCATCAGAATTACTCGATTTTGAAATAAAAATATTTTTTAATTATGAAACATCTTATTACGAAAATATATATTACAATTTTTCGTATTTTTTGTTTCAATATAAACAATTAATAATTTATCAAATGTTCCAGATCTACTAAGCATTAGTTTGGTCACTGAACTATATGCGCGATAAACATTTATAAAACTAGATTTCATTTATAGCGATTCTTATAGGCAAATATTAAATAATTAAAATATAGAAATAAATAATTAAAATACAAAAATATAATAATAGTTAGTAAAACTCTATAAATGATAAATGTTTTATTTATAATTCGAAACATTCTTATACGAAATATCATGATTTTTGATCTATTATAAATAAGTCATATATTATATTGTATTTTATTTATTGTTTTTAATCTCTTAACATTTTTTGGAGAATTACATTCAGAATTTATTAAAATTTCATTAATTTATAAGTGATCGAAATTAAAAATATTGAAATTTAAAAAAATTCTAGTTTTTATTTTATTTTATGTTACAGAATAAAAAAAATGAAAAGCAATATTGTATCGCAGTATCAATATAATCATGATGATTCATCATATCGTGAAAAAAATAAACAATAAATACTTAAGTGATTTATAATACAATTACAAGTGCCTTATAAAATTCTTGGTGTTTACAAAAATTTTTCTTGTGAGATATTTTTTAAATTTAAAGAAAAAATTTTAAATATTTGTAGAGTTTTATTTATTTGGATTATTATTATTTTTGTAAATTAAGTGATTCATCGAATTTCCAAGAAAATATTAAATAAACAAAAAATTAATTATAATAATTTCAAATTAAAAATATTTATTAATTTATTATTTGTATAAAATATATATTTATTTATCAATTTGATAAATAATTATATAATTATTATTTAATATATTAGATTTTATTAAAATTTTCAAAATTCAAATTATGAAATTATTAAATTCTTTATTTTTTTATAGAATGTTAAATATAAGATTTTATTTATAAAAAAAATTTTTTTTAAATTTCAGATTAAATCGGATTTAAAAATTTAAACGTCTAAAGAAGAGGAAAGAAAATGTCTCAAATATCAGTTCAAGCAATTTTGCCAATATTGTTATTTGCAATAACAATTGTATTAAGTAAGTATTATTTATTAATATGTTTTATTAACAATGTGTCAATTAATAACATATCGTAGTTATTGATAATTTCTTTTAATATTTAGAATTATATAATTTCTAAAATTTTATTGCTTACATGAATAACATTACTGATAATTAATGATAATTAATTTAAAATAGATTGGAATAAAAATTTTTATATGAATTTATTATTATTTTTATGAATTAACAGATTTTTTTATAAAATTTAATAAAAAAAATAAAAATGTATTTTTTTAATATATTTCGAATATTTAAAATAATATTTAATTTTTATTGAATAAGAGAAAAAACATTTCGTTGAAATGAAATACGTAACTAGTTGAAATTCATCTATTTTTGATCACGTCATACTTTCCATTCATTGGTCTTAGGATGTAGTTTTATCCATTACGATTAGATAGGGATTCGACCCGTCGACCCCTTTCTTTTGAATTTCTCAAGTTTATTTCAGTTTCTAAAATCTAAGCATTCTAAAAATTTAAAACAAAAAGATTAAAAGACATTTCGCTATTATTCGCTATTATTAATTCATTAAAAAATATTTTGTAAAGTTTTCTATATTTTGCATTTTATTCTATAATTTGCATGCTATATATACATTTAAAAAATACAAAAATATCTGTATTAGCTCAACAATTTTGTAAAACAACAATAATCCTATATTAGAACATTTGAATTTTTTGTTATATTATAATTTTTCAATGCTTTTCTTTTTTTATTATATAAAAAAAGAAAAGCATTGAAAAACATTAGCACATAAAGCATTTTCATTTTAATAAAATTTTATTTATTATAGAGTAAGATTTTCTTTACAGATTATGTAATACTTTGATTTTTTAAATCTAAAAATTTCATTTTTATTTCATTGAAATATTTCATTGAAACAAAATAAAAAATAAGAAATATTGAATATTATAAATTGAAAAATAAATGATAAGATATTTATTATAATGAAATACTTTTCTAAAAATAAAATTTTGTTCTGTTATCTCAAATTATATTTACATATGATATAAAATAAGAACTTAGTATTCATAACAAATAATGTAATAATAGAAAAATAATAATAATCAATTATTTGAATTCGATAATAATAATAAAAATAAAAAATAAATAAAAAATAAAAAATAATAATAATAAAAATAAAAAAATAAATAAAAAATAATAATAATAAAAATAATAAAATAAATTTTATAAATCTTATTAAAAATAAGAGTTTTTATTCATTTTTAATGGTGATTTCCACAAAAGATATATCATAAACATCCGGTTGTTCCTTGCGATAGCCCCAAGCGCTATATAATATAGTAAGAACTATTTGATAACTGCACAATTCCGGTTTCGTTTAAAATTTCTTTAAAAATTAATAATCATTGATTTTCTTTATTCTGTCAAATGTTAAAATATGTTTAATAAAAAAAATAATATCATTTGTTCATTTGATTTGAAATAATTTTTTAAAGTAATAATATAAAAAAATTAAAAATTAATATATGACTGAATTATTCAATTTATTCTGATTTTTAATTTATTTAATATACAATTTATTCAATTTATTTTAAATTTCTTATCCATGTTGATTTTCGAAAAAAGAAAAAATTGTAAATAAATTCAAAAAGAAAATAATATTAGGTATTCTTCATATTTTTAGAATTCTTCTTCTTACTTCTTTCACATAAACTTGAAATTTTCAATTAACAATTTAATTACATTTTCAATTTACAAATTAATTAATAGATTCAAATTCCTGAAAGATAAAGCATGCATATTCATTTTCAATATCTCTAACTAAATTATTTCTTCTTTTAGATTCAGCTGATCCGCAATATTCCAGAGAAAGACCTGTACATAGAGGTAAGTTAATTTTTTTCAATTATTTTAGAAAAATAAAAAAAAATAATAATTAATATTAATTTCATTTATATGAAATTGTAAAATATCTTTTAATTTTAAATCTTCTTTTTAGATTTGTAAAATTTTCGAAATTCAAAATATCTTCCTTTTCTAATCTAAATTAAATAATATCTATTTCGTAAAAAATTATTAATAAATTTGAATTCTGAAATTTTTCAAAATTGAATTTATAATTAATTAATAATAATAATTATTTTGTTATAAAAAATTAAATTTTTATGATATATTTTTCTTTATAATAATTTAAATATTTAAACTGTGTGTTAAAATTATATGAATATAATACATTATATACAACTTTTTAAAATATTATTAACATTATAAGTAAATTGTAATTATCGAAATTATATGGATAAAATTTAAAAAAAATTCAGAAATATATATAATAGTTATAAAATATTTAATTAAACATATAATTTAAATCTATTTAAGATCCTATATATTTGCACAGTTAATTTATATTATTCTATAAATAAATATTGATAAATTTAATAAATCTATTTTTAATATTTTTTTTTTTATATATTTTTCTATTTTATATTTATAATAAATAATTTAAAATTTTCATTTATATTTTTGAATTTATTTCAAAATCATTTCACTTATATAATCTTAATAATTATATCTACTTATAGTAAAAATATATTAAAAAGTATAACACAAAAATATGTTATAATAATATTAATAATAATTAATTAATAATAATATTAAATTATAATAAATTTTAAAAAATATTTTTTTTCTATAGAAAGTTTAAAGAGTTTTGTCATACTCATTGTATATTATTATAATAAATTAATAAAATTGTTTTAATAAAAATAAATTTAAAATCTAAACAAATTCAATTAAAACATTAAATAAATAAAAGTGGCTTCATATTGCCGTAAAATTATTTATCTGAATAAATTATTTTTTATTTGGATTTAGAAGATTTCGAATTACAAAAATAGCAAAAAAAAGTTTCGAAATATGAAAATTTGATATATTTTATTTTAAGATTTCAAATTTCCATATAGAATAAATCATAATTGTCTGAAATCATAAGTTTTAATATTTATAAAATATTCAGGATATTTAAGCTCTATCATAAAAAGAAATATTAAATATATTAAAACTATATTTATTTTACATAATATTTTACTTTTATATAATAAATTTAATAAATTTTAACTTTTTGCGTAGATATTGTCTTAAAAAACCAGCAATAATCAATTAATGATTGCTTAAATGATTTTAAGCAACTTTTTTCTTTGTAAAAATTTTCTTTTTTGTTTTATTGAGTTATTAACGAAAAACATTAGTCAATCATAGAGTGCATAATTGATTAATATCATTGAAAACCGGTTATTAAAGTGAAAAATTTTTGCGAAAACAAAACTTTTTACAAAAGAAAATGTAGCTTGAAATTATTTCAGCAATAATCAAGTCTTGTTGATCGACTTTTACATGGAATAATACAAAATATAAATATATTCGTGCGATATTTTTGGAAGGTTGATTCTAAAGACAAAATATATACAAAAATATTGATTAATCTCAAAAAGATTAAGATTGGGATTTATTTAAAAAAATTCTCATTTAAAAAATTTTAAAAAAATCTCATTTCAAAAATCTCCAAAAAATTATTTATTGTCATTTATTTAGCTTATTTATTGTCATAATTTATTTGTCATATTTATTAAATTATAAACAATAAAATTTATTTTAGATAAAATGAGACGACAACAATATATAACAGCAATATGATGGAAACAGAACATTCTGTTTCTGTTTTACTTTTTTTAAAATTTTAACTGCTTATAATTTAATAAAGAAATATTTTTATATATCTTATAACTTTTGTATTTATTTTAGATTTTAGAATCGACTCTTCAAAAGTTTTACAAATATATTAATATTTTATTGCTTATTGTTTATAACAATGAGCAATCAGAGAAAAATGAAAGTGTTATATCAATCCAGAGAGAGGATATATCGGAAATGATCGAAGAGCATCATTATTGGCCAAAGCTGAGCATTCCCAAGAGATAGCTCATTCTTGCTGGTTTGACAGTCGATTAGAATCAGTATGATAATGTTGCTCATTCAAAACTTATTCTTGTTTTTACAGGACAAAACAATATCTATTAAACTAGTATAAATGTACAATTAATATATCATTGATATCTTGTTTAATAATTTCGATTTAATAATTTCGTACATGATTTATTTATTTAACATAGATTGTTTTATGTAATTCAAAGATATAGTATGTTTTCTCTTTTCCTCTGTCTCTTTAAAGAAAATAGTTTCTTTTTACAAAATAAAAACTCAGTAAGACTAATATTAATTTCTTTCTTCGTATCTTCTTAATCTAATTGATGAGGTAATACTGGATATCCTAGATATTATATTTTCGATCACTAATTCTTGGTTTCTGGGGATTTTGTTAATCTAATGTATGTAATAATAAATTGGCAATTAATTTATAATTTCCAATTAGCCATGTAATGATACCAGCTAAAGAAAATTAAAATAATGGTTAACTTGATTTATTTTTTGTGAATACATTTTTTTTTTTTTTTTTTTAATTTTATTTCGTTGTTTTAGGTCCAGCACGAAAAAGGCATCCTTGCGAGCAGAGTTCATGTTATCCCTCAACAGGAAATCTATTAATCGGTCGAAAAGATCGATTGAATGCGTCTTCTACTTGTGGACTTAAGGGACCAGAAAGATACTGTATCGTTTCGCATTTGAAGGATCGAAAAAAGTGTTTCTTTTGCGATGCATCGATGCCGAAGCAACAGCACAATATTGAAAATATTGTTACTGAGTTAGTAAAAATTGAATATATTCAATTTTTTATATTTTAAAAAAATTAAAAAAAAATTTCCATATAATTTCTATTCATATTTTCAGATATTTTTTGGATTAAATTTAATTTAATAACTTCATAGAAGTGTTTAAAATTCATTGAGTTTATTTATTTTCATTATATTTAAATCAAAAGTTTTCATCAAATTAAAATAATAATACAGCAATGAAATAAACATCAAATTGTCTTCAAAGTAAAAATAATTAATTATACGAGTTGAGTCACGTAATATAATCATTTGAAATAACTCATAAATTATTTCTTATATGAAAAAATATTTTATACAAAAGTTATAAATGATAAAAAGAAATTAAATAATTTTCTGTTATTAATTTTTTTATAAATAAATATATAGAATATATGAAGATCAGGTTTATTTTTTAGTGAAATTATGTACTTTTTAGTATATTAATTATAAATGTTTATTAGATTATTATTTTCCATAAAAAACTATTTATTGTAAAAAATTATTAGTTTAGAAAATATTTTAATTTGAATTTTGTAAAATGCAAAACAAGAAAAACACGAAGAATTTTATGTATTCTTTGTCTTTCATATATATATATATATATATATAATTTAATAAGGATAATAAAGATAATAATCTATATTTATATTAATTAAAAAATATATAATTTTATTAATAATTTTAATAATAATTTTATTAATAAAATCGATCTTCAAATGTTCTCTCTATGTCTATTTTTAGAAAAATTATTTTTTTTTGTATTTTTTTATTTCCAAATTTTATTTCTTTTTACAGCGTGCAATTTTTGTATAAAAGAAATAAACAGAATAAAACTGAATAAAACTGATTTCAATGATCTTAATATATAATATAAATAATATAACTAAGTTTATTTCTTCATTCTGAATAATTTTTTCTCATATAATATAATAGATAGATTCTTTTAATTTTTAAAATATTAATCATTATGTATATTCAATTTTTTAAGATTTCCTCTTAAATTAAGAATAATGTTTATAATATTTATTTATTATAAATGTATATATGTTATATATGCATGAGCGGGAAAGATCGAAGTCACATTTGAATAAATTAAAATAGAATTTAGATTAGGCTAAATTTTTTATAGTATTGGATACTAATTTGAATAAACTTTTTTTGAAATTACAAATATCTCGAAAATTAAAAGAATCTGTTTATTATATATATATAGGAAAAAGTTAATCTACATTATTACTTTATAAAATATATACATACTTTCATAAAACAAATTTATGAATTATTTCAAATGATCACATTACAAGACTCATTCTATATGCTCTAAATTATGATTGTTATAATTTTTCTTAATTTTCCTTTAATTTAATCCAACAGTTGGTCCAAAAATTGGTGGCAAGCGGAAAATGGGGTAGAAAATGTTACGATACGCTTCGATCTCGAAGCTGAATTTCATTTCACCCATATCATTATCCGCTTCAAGACATTTAGACCTGCGTCAATGTTAATTGAGAGATCGTACGATTTTGGTAAAACATGGCAAGTATATCGATATTTCGCGCATAATTGCGAACAGTATTTCCCACATGCTTCTACGGGACCACCTCAAAAATTGACAGATGTTATTTGCGAATCGAGATATTCCGGTGTGGCGCCATCTACAGGGGGCGATGTTATCTTCAGGTATGTAAATGATCAGAATGAATATACAACGATGGATTTCATGATTCAGATTTTTATGATGTTTTATTGATATTAAATTTTATTCTTGAATGATGAATTTAATTCTTATAATGGCAGTTATGATTTTTTATGAAACGATAAGTAATTCTAATATGCTTTCTTGATTCTGATTATTAATATTATATTTTAATTTATTTAAATTATTTAAATTATTTTTTATTATTTAATTTATTGTATTGATATTTTTTTAAAAATTATTGTAAAATTATTGTATTGATAATGATTTAGGTTTCTACTATCAAACCGAAAGTAAAAAAAGATAATTATTTTAATGATAAGTGAATATTTTTTTCGTGTAAAGAATTTATTAGTTTATTTTGAAAAATATCTATTTATATTTTTTTGAAATTTTTTTAAAAATTATTTATTATTGCAATTTTGATTGTAATTTCAAAAAGCTTCGATAATCAACATAAAATTTTGATAGATAGATTCCAAATATAAAATTTTAGTTTCATTCAATTATTATTTATAATATTAATAAAAAATTTTCAACATCACATATTATATACTATATATACAAATAACAGTAACTAATATATTAAATATTATCCAAATGTTATTAATAAAATCATCTTGTGTGCTGTATTGTCATTGACGTCATTGACATAAAATTTTGACATGAGGATTATTCTGATATAAAAAAATAGATGAATAGACTCTATCTATTCTTATCTTTCATGCAATAAATTTTAGAAAATTCAAATTAAAGATTTTAGATTTTTTCGACATAAAGTATTTTTTAATTGAAACTAACAACTTACAATCCTTATAATTCTGACAAATCCTATAATTTTATTTAAAAAAACTTTTGTAATTTTCTTAAATTAAACTTTGTAATATGATCTATACATATTTATCTAAAAATTAATTATATCAAATTATGTTTCGAAATTATTGAATTTTTTTTTCAAAATTTAAAAAAATTTTTTTAATTATATTTTTTTATATAAAATAATATACGAGTAATTTGCATTTATAAATTTTAATTAAATATCTCTATCATATTTCTATTATAAAAAAAATGATAAAATTTTCTTAATTATTTATTATATAAAATCTAATATTTATATTAGATTTATATTTAGATAATCTAATATTTATAATAAATATTTGTTTATTTTCAGAGTTTTGCCCCAAAACTTAGAGATAGACAATCCTTATTCGAAAGAAGTACAGAATCTCTTAAAAATCACCAACCTCCGCATAAATATGACCAGACTACATACATTAGGGGACGATCTTCTCGATAATCGCGCTGAAATTCGAGAAAAATACTATTATGCAATTCAAAACATGGTGATCCGTGGATCCTGTTCCTGCTACGGCCATGCGTCTAGATGTCTTCCACTTCCTGGAGTTGCTAATGAAGAAAACATGGTGCACGGCAGATGCGAGTGCACTCATAATACCACAGGATTAAATTGTGAAAAGTGTCAAGATTTCTACAACGATCTTCCCTGGAAACCTGCAGTTGGGAAACAGACAAATGCTTGTAGACCTTGCAATTGTAATAATCATACGAATTCTTGTCATTTCGATGAAACTGTCTACGAAAGATCTGGAAGAGTTTCTGGTGGTGTTTGTGACGATTGTCAACACAATACCAGAGGCCAAAACTGCGAATTGTGCAAACCATTTTATTATCATGATGTCACAAAAGATATATCTCATTTCGAAGCATGTCTGCGTAAGTTGTTCATATTATTACAATCAAAAAATTTCGATAAATTTTGTTTTATTTTTTTGAAATTTTTAATTTATATTTGAAAATACAAAAGATTAAGATTAAATAAATTTATTTATAAATATCTTTTATCAAATATTTTAAATATGTAATTTTAATATATAATTTTTTTACAACAAGAAGTTAGAAACATATTTCTTAGCTGAATAAAAAATTGTTGTTTTCTAAATTATTTGTATATATTTGTATATATATTTTATTGCTAACAATAATTATGCTTCTTTGATAAAATAAAATATATTTCTTTTCTGTTTAGTTTCTTTGTTTAAGAAATTAATAAATGAAGCATTATACAATTTGTTAAATATTTTTCTATAGTTATAAGAAGGCTAATTTATTATGACAAGATTCATAATAGTATCTTTTCTTTTTTTATTTCCTTTAAAATTTATTTATTATAAAACTATAAAGTTATAAAATTTGTGCAAAAGAATTTATTAATACAATTAACAGATCAATATAATAATTATCAACTTGAATTTATGATATTTATTAATAATATAATATTAATTTATTTATGCAATTATTTAATTTATTAAAAAGATTATTTATTCTGTTTAATATTATTACAAAATGAATAACTATTAAATAAATTGTTTGTATAAAATTAATATAACAAAAGTTATGCTTTATAATTTCAATTTTATTTAAATAGTGTTGATATTTTTTTTCAAAAATTAAATCAATGAAAAAATTTTTTGTTTTAATTATTTTTCTTTTTAATATATGCTTCAAAATAGATTTAAAAATTTATTTATTATTTTTCTGCAGCTTGTGATTGTGATCTTGGTGGTTCTTTGGATGATGGTATATGTGATTCAAGAACCGATCTTCTCAGTGGAGATGAATCTGGGCGTTGCCATTGTAAAGTAAACGTGGAAGGTCGTCGTTGTAATCGTTGTAAATATGGTTATTGGAACTTTGATCCTGAAAATCCTGAGGGATGTCAAGGTATCGATTTATAAACATTTTGATTCGAATTTTCTTTTTAATTAACATATTCAATGTGGTATCAAAAATTGAAGTAAGGAAAATTTTGATGATAGATATTGGTTTTTGATAAATATAAAAACAATTATAAAAATAGTAAAAAATACAATGAAATCTAAACTAATTGTACATATTTCTGACAATTGAATGTGTGTACAAAAAGAAAATCAAAAAACTTTTTTTCGTTTTTGATATTTCTTAAAAAATTTCACGACATATGCGTCAAATACCATAGAAATTTCTATGATGTATATGTTTATGTCATCTACATTGAACGTATTAAATTATATAAAAGTTATTTTAAAAAATATCATCGTTTTTATATTACTTATTATCAAACTTATTTTAGATCAGTATAATTAAATTTTATAGAAGACTTTTTTAAAAAATATAATAAATTGAATTATATTTCTATTTTGCAATAATTCATTTTAAATGTTGCATCAATAAATATTATGTATTTCTGAGATACAAAATATTAGCCTTTATAGAAGGAAGAAAATAATTTATTTTAATATGTAGCACATAGTAATTTTTAAAAATGAAGTAGAATTGGAACTATCGATATCAATAATATTAATCTTATTTTTATTAATTAATATTATCGATATTATATTATAAATATTATAAATTATTAATAATATTAATATTATCGATAATTCGATATATCAATAATATGTAATCATTCAGATAAAAAGATATCACTAGATATGAATAGAAATGAGTGAAATAAACTATAATATAATTTTTCAATAAATCCTATTTAGCTTACAATTTATTAAAATTTTTTATATATTTTGATAATAATTTTGAATAAAAAAAAATAAGAATTCTAATCATTTTTATTTATTTGTAAAAAAAATGTATTAGATATTATCAATATATCACTAAGATATCGATAACATATTGATAAATATTGATTAATAATTACAATTCTAAAACGAAATGGATATTATTTTTTAAAAGTAAAAATTATTTTTATAAATTAAATAATTTCTTTTTTTTGATGTATATAAAAAAAAATTATTTTTAAAATGCAGAAAATTATAATTACAAAAATGCAGAAATTTATTTCTTAATAATATAACCAATATCATTAAGAACAGAAATATCATTTTTATTTGCAGCATTTTTATTTTAATTTTAAAAAAAAATTTATAATGATATACTGTTCCATATTATAATTTTTTTTTTACACTTTATTAAAAAAAAGAAAAGCAAAACTTAATCATTGTTTTTTTTAGCATGTACCTGTAATATTCTGGGCACTATCGACAATCGTGGATGTAATATGGTCACTGGCGAATGTACTTGTAAACGTTTCGTCACTGCTCGTGATTGTAACCAATGTCTCCCAGAATTTTGGGGTCTCTCGGAAGATCCGGATGGTTGTAAACCTTGTGATTGCGATCCCGGTGGTTCCTACGAGAATTCTTGTGATGTGATCACTGGTCAGTGTCGTTGCAGACCTCACGTTAGTGGCAGAACTTGTAATCAAGCCGAACAAAGTTACTATACTGGATCATTGGACTTTTTGATTTACGAGGGTGAATTATCGAGAGCTACTGATGTAATTGTTATTTTTTTTTTGTTTTTTTTGTTATGAAAATAAATAAGATGGAAAATTATCAAAACATAATATAATTTTCTTTTTAAAATATAAATATAATTTTTAAATAAAATTATTTAAAAAAATTAAGTATTAAAAACTTCTTAAGATTAAGATTCTTCTTAAGATTAATTAAAAAAGATTAATTAAAATATATTTTCTAAAACATTAAAGAATAATATTATTATTCTTATTATTATTATTTTTTATTTTTATTGTCGAATAAATAAATAATTCATTGATTATTTTTATAGAACTGCCAAGTAGTGATCAGAGAACCTTATCGCGATGGAAGAAACAGTACTTGGACTGGTACCGGATTTATGAAAGCACTTGAGGGCTCAATCTTAAATTTCACGATTGATGATATTCGTAAGAGTTTATGGTACGATATTATCGTACGATATGAACCAATTCAGGTAGGATCCTGGGAAAATGTTCAAATAATCATTGAAAGAGACGGTCCAGTGGATCCTAATGGTCCTTGTGCTGAATGGAGACCGGACTATGACCAATTATATGCGCAACTTCCTTTAAGATCGAGAAGCGTTGTTGTACAACCATCTATTTGCTTGGAAGCAGGAAAACGATACAATATCTTATTGCAATTTCGTAAATTTAACAATCATATCGATACACCTTCTGCTTCCATCTTGGTTGATTCTGTGAGTAATATTTGAAATAATATTTGAAATGAAATTAATTTCAAGTGTTTGGTTTTTAATTTATAATTTAAGTTTATTAAGTTAAGATTTAGTTTTTATTTATTGAATACTTATTTAATCAATAAGATTAATTTTTTTAATTAAAGTAAAAATTTGATTAATTTGATTGATTTGTATCAATTTCAAATTTATTCAGATTGTTCTGAGACCGAGAATAGATGCTATTCCTTTTTTCAAAACTTCTGGAATTGGCGAACTTCGTCGACAAGAATATGAAAGATATCATTGTAGTGAATTCTTTAATGATATTAACACAGAGTGGAATAATATTCCGGAAATTTGTAGACAATATCAAAACAGTATTGGTTATTATGTTTACGATGGTGCACATTGTAAGTAGAAAACGAACTCGTCAATCTGTTACGTTATTTATAATTTACCAATTCTTTTTTTTAATCAGTTTCTCAATTTTTTTCATAAATAACTACCATCATTTTACCATTCATCATACCAAAATTTAAAAAATTTTAATATCATTAAAATATTACAGATATATAAGAATTTAAAATATAGTTGGTTTTAAAAAATTTGTTACAATACAAAAAATTAATTTCTCGTATTTGTTAATGTTACTGTTATTGATTTCTAAGAAAGATTTATAACAATTTATATTCAAACTAAATTAAATTAAAATTGATACAATAATATATTATTGCTCTTTATATAATATATATATTAACATTTAAAAATTTTTATTTTAAACAGTTGTAACTTTTTTTTATTCAGAAAAATATATGATTTATATATTTTACTTGAAATATTCACAAGAGAATGTAACACAATAAATACATCAATTTAAAAATAATATAAAAATTTTAATATTAAAAATATCAATTTAATTATTCAATAAAATTTATTATTCAATAAAATTTAATTAATTCAATAAAATATAAGATAAATATATGAGAGATAAATATATGAGAGATGTTGTGGATGAAATGAATTACAGATATTTGTGTGTAATTTTTAAAATAATTATTTCATTACAGTTATTAATAGTTTCAATAATATTGTTAGTTTCAATTCTATATATTGCATTCATAAAAATTTATTTAATCAAATCCTATTTATTTAACATATAAATATTTAATATTAACCTTTTCAATTTCAATTATCTTTAGGATAAACTATATATTTTAGGCATATATTTTATTCATATTTTTCTGCATAACATTAATTTAAAATATTTCTAACTTTAATTCTAGACATTAATTCAATAGATAATAATAAATATGTTTTGATCTTAGAAAATAAATAATATATATTTTTTTCGAAATTAGCTTAAATTTAAGATTAATAAAAATCTTATATTAATATCAAGAAATTTATCAACTCATTGCCTCTTCCAGCTTGTGAATGTAATCCAACTGGATCCCACAGTTTGCTCTGTGAGAGTTACGGAGGTATTTGTCCGTGTAAACCAAACGTCGTTGGCAGACGCTGCAATCGTTGCGCGCCTGGAACTTATGGTTTTGGCCCAGAGGGTTGTATACCTTGTGATTGCGATGGTGTAGGAGCATTGGACAATTTCTGCGATGTTGAAACAGGACGATGCAAGTGTCGACCGAATACCTATGGAAGAACGTGTGGTCAATGTGAACCTGGCTTTTGGAACTTTCCTCATTGTCAACGATGCGAGTGCAATGGCCATGCTGAAAGTTGTGATTCCAAGACTGGTGCATGTATCAATTGCCGAGACTATACTACTGGACACAATTGTGATCGATGCATTGAGACATATTATGGTGATCCTAGGATCGGTGTGGATATTCCATGTAGAGCGTGTCCTTGTCCAGGTATGAAAAAAATAATAACTTTTTTTTAATCATTCATTATTTTTCATTATAAACGAGCATCACATTATTCGTATACGAATTTGATTTTATAATTTTCAATAGCATTTCTTATAAATTTTACTCGCTGAATATGAATCTATAAATTATTTTGATAATTATTTAGAAAAAAGATTTCGATATATGTTGTATAAATCAATATTTTGAAAAACATTTTTATACTTATAATTTTAATTATCGAAATATTTTTAATCGAAATATTTTTAAAAAATTCTTTATGAATACACTTTTTTATTTAGGCGGTCGCTTTATAATGACTCTTATTTCTATAACTTAATAATAAAAAAAAATAAATAAAAGAAAAGAAAAGATTAAATTAAATTAGATTTTATTGATTTGCATATATATAATTCATATAATATATAATTCATATGTGATATTAATTTACAATTATTTTTTGTTCGATTAAAAATAAAATTGTATCAATTTATCGTAATTATTACGTATATTTAAAAATACATTAAAAGTACATTAAAAAGTACATACATGTAATCATTATTATTAAATTTTTTACCTTATCTGTAATGATTTTAACATTTTATATTTGTACTTATTTGTCAATAACAAAAATTTCTAAATTATTGACAAAATATCACTTAGAAAAAAATACATATTAAATATTTAAATATAATGAATAATATATATTCAGTAAAAAATAGAATAGTGATGAAGATGAAAATATATATCGAAAAATTATCTAAAAATCAGAATGATTATTGATAACAACGTATTTCAAAATCGATGAGATTATTTATTTTAAATAATTATTAAAATGATTTATATTTTCAATTTATATACATTTTTATAAACAGTTTAGTTTGGATTTGCAATTAACAATTCAGACATGACAGATCATTTTCAAAAATTAAATAATTTATTTTATTTTTCTATAAATTCATTTAAAATTATAGGAACCATAGATTCTGGTCATTCTTATGCTGAAAGTTGCTCTTTGGATTCTGTGACTCATGATGTGATTTGCGAATGTTTCGATGGATACACTGGTCCTCGTTGCGAAAGCTGTGCGGAAAATTACTTTGGCCATCCTGAGATTCCCGGTGGCAGCTGTGAGTCTTGTAATTGCAATAACAATACGGATCTTCGTCTAGCTGGAAATTGTGATCCTCATACTGGACGTTGCCTACAATGTTTGTATAATACTGATGGATCAAACTGTCAGATATGCAAACCAGGATTTTACGGAAACGCTCTTGAACAAGATTGTCAGGATTGCCAGTGTGATGTTTTGGGTACAGATAGAAATGCTGGACCTTGTGATCATCGAACAGGGCAATGTCCTTGCTTACCTCATGTGATCGGTTTACTATGCGATTCTTGTGAAGAAAATCATTGGAGAATTGCTAGTGGTCAAGGTTGTGATCCTTGTGAATGCGATGCTGTTGGAAGTGTCTCCGATAGGTTTGTATATTATATTTTTAATTTAATAAATGTCACTTAAAGAGATAAATAAATTTTGTAATAATAATAATTAATAATATTTGAAGGAAATAAAAAATAATATAAATATACATAAATTAACTTCTTAATTATTATACTTGATATTATGTAAACTTTGAAAGAGAACATAATAAATATAAATTTGGTAAATAAAATTAAAATTATAGAAAAAAAAAAAGAAATGAAACAGAAATCAAAAATGTCATTTTAAAAAATTATTTATTTAAATTTAAATTATTTATTTTTATGTTAATAGTTGCAATCCATACGATGGTACTTGCGAATGCAGACCAGGTTTCGGAGGAAGACGCTGTAACGAATGTCAAACAAATTTCTGGGGCAATCCAAATGTCGAATGTTATCCATGCGATTGCGATTTAACCGGCTCTGCCAGCCAGCAGTGTGACAGAGAAACTGGGACATGTATTTGTCACAAAGGAATAGGTGGCGAAAAATGTGACCAATGCGATCGTGGCTACTATGGATATGCACCTCAATGCAATCCTTGCGGCGAGTGTTTTGACAATTGGGATTTAACATTAATTGGTCTAAGAAATAAAACAAACCTCGTGATTGAAGAGGCATCAAAGATACAAAAGATTGGAACGACTGGTGTCTATAGTCAAGAATTCGACGATATGGTCGAATCTTTGGATCAAGTGCAAGTATTAATCAGTAATGCTTCCATTAGAAGTCAAGATTTAGATGAATTGAATGATTTGGCCATAGAATTGAACAATAATGTGTCTACGTCGACTAAGAAATTAGAAGAAGTGAACAATCTCTTAGAGAATGTTAGTCAAAGGGTGAATTTGGGGGATGCTGCTCTTAAAAATTTGAAGAACAGAACAAATAGTTTGCATCAAGCTGCTGCAGATCTCAAGGAAAACGCAACGAGATTGCAAGAAGAAAACGTACAAGGTGCTCTTAATGTTACACAACAAATGGCAGAACAGTCTAGGCAAGCGGAAAAAATGGCAAACGATACTAGTAATGTTTTGACTGATGCGGAAAGATTCGTTAAACATACCGAGAGTTTATTAGCTAAGAATCGAGGTTTTGTAGAAGAGGCTCAAGAAAAGAATCAGGAATCGTTAAATAAAATAAACGAAAAATTGAAAATATTCAATAGTATTATGCCTGAATTAAATTTAGAAATGTGCGGAGATAATGTGACCGATTGCAGTAGTGTGTGTGGTGGCGCTGGCTGTGGTTTTTGTGGCGGTTTATCTTGCGATGCGGGTGCTATGACAAAGGCCACTCAAGCTTTGGATGTAGCTAAAAAGCAAGCTGCTAAGATCAAAAGTCATAAAGATGAGGCTGAACAATTGCTTCGCAATGTAAGTTTTACCATTTTTTATTCAATTTCATTCGACAAATTTGCTTAAAAAATTAAAATTATTAAAATTATTATTATAAATTTTTAACTTCACCATATATTTCTGTTTTAAAAAAAATTATGTTTATTAATATTTATCTTAAAACAATGATTTATTATTCTTGATTTTAAATTAGAGAAATTTTAAAAGAAAATAAAATATGTTCTAAACAATAAATATATAAATATATATATATTAAAAAATAAAGCGAAAGAAAATAAAACAAAATAAAATAAAATAATCTTTTGTAACTTGAAATTCTTATAATAGTTTTCTTAATAAAAAACGTACCATAATCAAAATTTGCTTCCATAGTATTCGAAATCGAAGTAACAATTACTTAATTTATCTATTTAATTGTTTAAATATATAAATAATTATTCTTGAATTAATTATTAGATAATAATCTTAAACTAATTTTTATAATTATGTAACAAAAGATTTTTTTGTTTTATTAAGTAATTTTTTGTACAATGATTTATGCAATAATCAAATTTTTATTATCCGAACTATTATTTAACCTTAATTATTAAAATAATATTTAAAAAATTTTGATTATTCAGATGAGTCAAGTGAAACGAGATGCAACGGCTGCCAGATCAAATGCTCAAGATGCTTTCAATTACGCTTTGAAAGCTCGTAATCTAACTGACAATGTGAGCAAAGATCTTTCCGATATAAATAAACGAATTCGCAGTACTCTGGATGAAGATCAACCGACTCCTGCTATGGTCAGAGATTTAGCAAATGAAGTATTGGCTAAGAACATCCAATTGAAACCCGATGAAATCAAAGAATTAGCCGATCGTATTAAGAGTATTGTCGGTTCCTTGACTGATTCTGATAAAATCCTCGCGGATACCAAAGACGATCTTTACCTAGCTGAACAATTGAAAAACCGAGCAACTAAAATGAAAGAAGACGCAATTGAGAAGCAAATACTGGCTAATGTAGTGGTAGTTTTGTTGAATGACGCCAAAAAAGCTCAGATTCATGCTCAGGAAGCGATCAATCAAGCCGAACGTGATGTTAGTAGATCTGAAAAAGACTTGGAAGAGATTGCAGAGGTGACCAGAGGTGCTCAGATGCAGGCAAATAGTACTACTCAGACTGTTGATTCTTTGGATGCCCGATTGAAACAATTACAAACTCAATCGGTAAGGAATGATTTCGTTTTGAATCAAGAAATTAGTGTTGAAGCCCGTAAAATTGCCGAGGAAGCGCAGAATGTTGATATCAAAACGAAAGAGCTAGCCATGGAATATAAAAATGCAGATGAATTGTTGAATTCGAGAATGAATAAAAGCAATGGAAATATATTGAGGGCGAAAAAGCTTCTTCAGAAGGCCTCAGAACTGACTGCTGATACTTCAACGAAATCTAAGGATTTGGACGGTATGGAGAGTGTATATAGAGATAATGAGAGGATGTTGTCTGACTTGATGGATCAAGTTGACTCGTTAACTGGGGAAATGGAAAAACATTTGGCGGAAATCGAACAGAAGGCGCAACGTTACAAACAGTGTACTTCTTGAGCGGATGTAACCAATAACTGATTGATGTATATTTTTATGACTAACTTGGTTTTTAAAAAATGAATGCTTATTGATGTTCTCTTTTGTATTTCGATGCTAAATCAAATGAGCTAAATTTCGTATTGTAGAATTTGTCTAGATTATTTTTCATTTTCTTACTGAGCTTAAAATTTTACTATTAATAATTTTACAAAAAATGTTTGATAAATTTTGTTTAAATTTTTTTTTGAAAAAAAAAAAGATCCAATTACAGAAATTTAGAAAGAGTATTTTATTAAGAAACTTTATTACATTTAATTGTAATAATTTTTAATTATAAATATCTTTTTAAATCTTATTATCTATTATAATGTGTACAATGATAAACAAAATATTGCCATCATTGAATGAATGAATATAAAAGAAGTTAAAAAATAGAGTATAAATAATTTTTAGATTATGAGGATTAAATCGATTTATTATCTTTTTTAAAAATAATTAAAAAATATATGAAAAATAAGAAAAAAAAAAGAATTTTTCCAGTGCCATAATTATAAATAAAGAGGCCATTTATATGTTTATATATTTCACATTCATATATATATTTATACGTAACTTTTTAAAAATCTCATGAAAAATAGAAATTAAATTATAGAATAAATATTTTAAATCTTGAAACTAATCATGAAAAATATTAGAAACAAAATTCATATTTTTATGTTAAATTTTTTATTATAGATCAAAAAATTTTAAAATGAATAATGTACAAAATTAGTAGATTATAATAATGAATGTAGATTATAAAATTAAAACAATCATTTTCACGTTGAGAATGTTCTTCAAAACGAGAAAAAATTTTATGAAGAATATCATTGATCTGATAAATCAAAAAATTTTAGAATGTATTGACAAGAATATAAATATTTTTTATAATTAAAAAAAATACTTTACAGGAAATATGCCAAATGTTTTCAAATAGAATATTTTCATTCATAGTATTTTTAAATAGAATATTTTCATATTAGTTGAAAAGATTCATAAATCAAAATTATATGTAGATTAAATAATCAATCAGTAATCATTATAAATGTATATTTAACTGCCTAATTAATAAATAATTTTATAAGATATAAAGAATTTATATCCTTGACAATATATTTTAATTATATAATTTAATTACGAGGAATATTGCGTAAATGAACTATTATTGAACAAAAATGACTGATAGTTTTTATACAGAATTAAGGTATTAGTCGACTTAATTCACAATATATAAAAAAATTTAATTATTCAACATTTAATATAAAATTTGTACTTATATATTATATACATTGTATTTGAATTTTAAAGAAGACACAGTGCAATAGATAGATAGGATTTTTATCAGTAATTTGTAAATATATTACTATATTTCTTCATCAAATTGTATTTTTCCATTTGACATGAATTGGTAATAAATAAAATTATAAATATAAATATAATAAAAGAATATTTGATTTAAAATACATGGAAAAAACAAAAAAATATTATTAAATATTAGATATGTTTAATACAAATTTCATATATTTTTAATATTTCAATTATGTATTCAGTATAATGATACAATTAATTATGAATAAATTTGGATATAAATTGAACAATTTCTAAAAATTATTATATCTTTATAATTATTCGGATTATTGGAATACAATGTTTGCAACGATTTTATCTCTCTTTGTACGCAACTTAGGACAATTTTAATGAATTATACTAAGCCTACAAACAATTTTTTCCTCACCTTTATTTCATTATCAGTATGACTACTTTTCCACATTTAATCATTCTATATTCCCCTACTACTATTTTGTTTTATTTTAATTGAGAATATACATATATAATATACATATATATATACAATATACAATAATATAAATCCTAATTTTCCTTCCAATCTTTTTTTATGTTTCAAGAAGTGTAAGGAGAAAATCGAAAAATGGAAAGAAGCACAAATTATCTAGCCCTAAATTATAGAATATTAATATATTTATAAAACATTTTTAACTATTCGATTTTAAAGTCCAAAATATAAATAAAAAATATGAACAATTTAAATTTGCGTTAGATAAAAAGGAAGACAAAACTATTTGCAGCTTCATTTCATTTTTATGCTTGATCTAATGCAATTATACTTTAAGATGTACAATTTCATTCATTTTACGATTTCTTCTTCAATGTTATCCACCATTCCATATTTTCTTATCATACTTTTTCTCGTGTGATCGCGAATAAGTATAAAATAATACTTACTTCCTTCATAATTCATAAAACTCTTCTTTCATAATTCATAAAAGTGTAGAAAAAAGTGACATATCGCCAGTTGTTCAGATTTTTCTTAAGAAATAAGTTTCAATCATAATTCATGTTAAAAATGATTCAAGTTTGTGTAAATTTCTATAGAAGAATACATGATATCATATTATTTTCATTGCTAGATTAAATAGAGAAACGTTATGTGACATGATGTGATGATGAAAATTTAATCATATAATCAAATATATAATGGTAGTAATTTTTTCTTACAATTATTTCGAAAAATAAAGTCGATTATATTATAATATTTTATCTTATCAAATAATTAATAAAACATTAGATTAAATCTATGTATTTTTAAAATTTCTTCCTTGAGCATTTTTTGAAATAGTAATTTTTTTTTGAAATAATAATATCATTTATTTTATCCTTTTTATTTAGATTATGCATTAACTTATCTCCAGTATATATATTACATAAAATGCATAAAAATTACAATAATATTTAAAATATAAAAGTCTTTATTATACGTTTTTATAAAGTATATATTATAAAGTATAAAGTAAAATATAAGTAAAATATAAAATATAAAATATATATATTTATAATTAAAGTATAAAGTATAAAGTAAAATACATTTTAAAATTCACAAACATTTTTACAAACATCTTCTTTTACTTTTACGATTAAGCATAATAGCGAATAAATAAAAATAAAAGTATAGTATACAATATTGATATTAAAATTATCATTATCATATTGATATTATCAATTATCATTAAAATATTATATAGATTTTATTGCATTAATGTTATATTTAAATTATGTTTTATAATCACTACAGTTATGAAATGATTATATTTAAATTTAAAATCTTTAGAAAGATAGCTTTTTTGAATTTACTTTATTTCAAAAATATCAATTCCATTTTTTGTTATCAATGTAGGAAAAATATGGCATTTTTTTATGGTGTTGTATTCAATATTTGTAAATTTTTATATTATATTTCAATGAATATGCTTCATTATATCCATAACTATCAAGAAGTTCAGAAATGATATATATTGATATATAAAAATATGTTGCTATTATATTATATTTATATAATTTAGAATTACTCGATAAAATATAATGTATTATATAATGTATTATATTTCGTCGTATTATAATTCAAAATATTATATAATTTTTTTATCTTCACATAATTCAGTTTAAACATATATCAGTTTCAACAAATAATTTTAAAGCTTTTGTTAATACTTCCCTTTCAATATTTAAATTTTTAATTTTATCTATATTTCTTATTGAATACATTAAACTTTTCATCAAATTTAAATTAATTTGAATATGTTTTAATAATTTAATTGCAGAACATACTTTATTTTCATCATTTATTAATTTATAAGTATATCTTTAAAAACAAAATAAAAAGCAATATCCAATATTTCCAAAGGATTATTACCATTTGTTTTATTATATCTAGAGTAATAATCCAAATGTTAAATATTATTTTAATATAATCTTTTATTTTAATATAATCTATTTTAATTATCATTAAATTTTGAAAATTCAAACTTGTTCGTTTTCTCTTTATAACTTTTTTGTCATTTAAATAATTATGAATATTAAATTCCTTAGCAATATTTCTTAATTTTTTATTTTGTCTATTTATAAAGATTATAACTTGTTGTAATGTTAAAAAAAAATAATGCAATTGTTTCATTAATTCATAATATTTTTTAATATTACTTTTTTTTTTATTATCACCTATATTAAATAATTTTATAATAAATTCTATTGCTTCCTTTTTATTAAACATATCTAATTTTAATGCATGCATTTTTTTTGACCATTTTGTATTATAGGAAATAATTAGAATATGCAATTTATTATAGTTAAGGAATAGAAGAGGTAAAAAATTTTCTATGTCATAATCAAATTCATATTCACTTTTGTATTTTTCAGCCAATTTACTCATAAAAGAAGAACTCATAGAAGAAATTTCATAGGTTTCAGCATTTGTCCATATCACTTTATCATCATATTCTTTACTATATTCTTCGATATTTTTTTTAATTAATTCATTTTTATTTATTTCTTCAAGATCACTGACACAATTAATATTTTGTTCCACTTCGTTTTCATTTTTATTTTGTACTTTATGTAAATTAAACAATTGTTCGATTCTTCCGATGAATATAAATACAAGATTTTTTAAGTGAAAGAAAACAGGAGTTTTGGTTTTTCTTTCTTCGAAAAATTTCTTCCCTTCTTTGTAGGAAAGAAATCTATCTTTTTCCGGATCCATCATCCAATTCAACATTTTTACAAAAAATCTATTGTATACATCTTCCGTTTTGGTAATATCAAATTTCTTACCGATTTCCTTCTGAATAATGTTACCTAATTCTTCTTGATTAGGCTGATTAACAGCAAATACAAGATGATTTAGAAAATCTTCTATCTCATCAATTTCATAATTAATATTCGCTTTTTCTAGTGTATTCTTTAATAAAGAGGTTACATTATTTTTAAACATATAACGTGCGGGTTGTTTTTCGATGAATTCCATATCCAAAATATCATCTTCATCTTCTATTTTTTCAATTTCAATTTTTGAATTTTTCAAATTTTCAAAATCCAAATCAATATTAGTATAAATGATAATATCTTTTATCGTGCTATTTTTAAAGAATTTATCATTTTTAAATTTTTGATAAGAAAGAAAATATTTAATTAAACTGTAATCTCCTTTTTTTGATAATAATTCATGTTCTGTTATTTTATAATGTTCTTTCAATTTGTGTTTAGCTTGTAATAGACGATAAATTTTTTTGTTATCTTTAATGTATTCAAGTACTAAATCATCAAATGCAATAGCTTCTGCTATTTCTGTACCTAAGCGAAATGAATAACGACGTTGAATGCGATAGAAGAATAACATTAACAGTTTTGTTTGA